TTCTGTCCATACTGTATGGTTTGTGTCACTTTTAATGCATTTTGGATGTGTTGACACTGAGTCGACGCTATGTTGACGCTTTAGTATGACCGTCACAGACTGATGTGGATAAACCAAGTTTTGTGTGCATTTACATACCGGGCTGGTGAATTTTGATTGAAGTAATCAGGGTGATGGGGTCCGTCTTGACTTGATGTGCGATTTCCAATTACAATGGGTATGTCAAAGTTGAAGTAAGTGGATCGGCGCCTACGTATCCCAGCCTTGCATCCACAACGAGTGCGCCAAAAACAACAGGTGCCAGTGATCGGTCCAGAAGATTTGGATGGTGGATGGATTGGATGGTGGATGGATTGGACATGTTCTGGGTCCAATATCACTACAGATTTCAGCAGCAAGAGGACATGGACGGCAAAGATCGGGTCCATTATTGAAGGAGTGCAGGTATATTGGCGAATATCTGACTCGCTGGAATGAAGCAGGAGCCATTGAGGAGTTCATTGGCAGATGCAGTGGCATTGTTGAATTTAGTGGGAGACAACATTGGTTCATTAGCATATCAAGTGCTGCACTGGTGCTGGAGGAACATCCAATTGTTACCAGCAGAAGGTGTGATCTACTAGTCACAAAAGATACCTGACGTCTTGGTGCGCAGAAAAACTGCTAAAGCCCCAAATGCACAGGAAAGGAAGGAAAAACTCCCTTAAAATGCTCCCAAACCAGATGTTACATATATTCTGGCTCACCATATTAATCAGTTTGCGCTAAATTTCAACTTGACATGAAGACATGACTGGAATCACCGCTAAGAAAGAGGAAATCAGTACATTGGTGGAGAGCATGATGAGGAGCCGCCAGTTAGTAGCGCTGCACTCTATAACATTACTCAGGTCAATACAACAATCAACAGCCACACAGTAGCCACAGCTGTTTGACAATACCAGCCACTTGCAGACAATACTTTATCAGGTCAATACAACAATCAACAGCCACACAGTAGCCACAGCTGTTTGACAATGCCAGCCACTTGCAGACAATACTTTATCAGGTCAATACAACAATCAACAGCCACACAGTAGCCACAGTTGTTTGACAATGCCTGCCACTTGCAGACAATACTTTATAAGGTCAATACAACAATCAACAGCCACACAGTAGCCACAGTTGTTTGACAATGCCTGCCACTTGCAGACAATACTTTATAAGGTCAATACAACAATCAACAGCCACACAGAAGCCACAGCTGTTTGACAATACCAGGCACTTGCATACAATACTTTATCAAGTCAATACAACAATCAACAGCCACACAGTAGCCACAGCTGTTTGACAATGCCTGCCACTTGCATACAATACTTTATATGGTAAATACATGTACAACAATCAACAGCCACACAGTAGCCACAGCTGTTTGATAATACCAGCCACTTACCAATTGCTGACAATACCAATTGCTGACAATACCAATAGGCCCCCACCCAAAAAGTTCTGCTTCCAATTACATGGCATTTGAAAACAGGGTAATAGGTAGGGTTTTTTTTTGGAGGGGGGGGGGATTTTTTGACAGGGATCATGTTTCAGTCAATACCAAACACCAACTGTGGACAGCACTTTGTCAAGTCAGTCCTTCTGATTTGAGGCGTGCGATCACACCCCCACACCATTGCACACCTAAAAGCTTCCTGCGAAGTTCGAACAATTGCATGCCTGAATTTCCCTGGACCACAGATCACACACCTAGAAAATCACACACCTAGAAAAAATACACACCTCGAAAAGTCCAGATGTGCTTTTTTCCACACGCCTGTGATTTTCAAATCAGGACTGTCAAGTCAAAAACAGTCAACAGCAATTTAGCACCCACAGCTGTTTTGACAGGGATCATGTTTCAAACAGTCCATACCAGCAACTTACTGACTATGACAGTACTTTAACGAGTCAATAACAGTCAGCAAATATTCATTATCAACAACTGTTCTACGGGTCACAGTTGGTCAAGTCATTCTCATGGCCAGTTACTTAAGCAGTCAAAACGGGTCAATAATTTAGTTCTATGCATAGAATTCCATCGGGTCAAAAAACGGTCACCTGACTGATTTTGAGTATGCATGTTTGCATCGGAGGGTTCTAATGGGCCAAGTACATAAGTTTATGGATGTTGCATATAAAGGTAAAAGATGAGCTAGTATTTTTTCTCTTTTTTTCACTGCTAGGAAAAGGGTGCTTAGGACAAATTCAGTTTCTAATAGGCACTTCCAGTTACATTATTAAGCCATTTTACATTGTTGTCAAACAAGAATATCAGTTTTCAAAATGGCTTCAAATTTATGATGTGATTAGGGTAATGTATAAACAGGGAGAGACATTTTGTGACAAATGTCCAGTCTGTATGTACGTTTAAATCCTCATTATAAAATATCAAATAATTCTTCACAATGACTCTGAGTTTTCTAGGTTTTGACTGATAGCATTCCTCCAGGGTACATCTTCACAATGACTCTGAGTTGTCTAGGTTTTGACTGGATTATCATTATTAAGAAATATCTGAAAGGTAGAGCAAGAGGTGGGGGGGGAAGAAATGTTCGAATTAACCCCACAAAGCAGTGCCCCACTACCAGCACTCTTTATTTGTGGGAGAACATAGAAGAGCGCCAGATCACCCATTTTGATTACTTGTTTCTGCTTATTCTTTACATGTAACTAAAAACTAACCTCAAGAATCAGTAATGGGTAGCCCAGCAAGCAGGTCATCTGTTTATCTGTCGGTCCTTCTCCCTGCTTCCGGTTCCTCGGGTTTCTGTTTGATGAGGCTGTCGGAGCCCTGACGATGTCTTGAGGCAGGCTCATCCTCATCTCAGTAGAGCAATTCCCTCATCAGTCAGTGGTCCTCACTTTGCTGAAAGGATTCAAATAACGAAAGGAAACATTTGAATTATTGAGCTGTATTCGTGCCAGGGCTCGAAAGGGGAAAGAAAACATTGAATTAACTCCACAAAGCAAAGCCCTGCTACCAGAACTCGTTTGTGCACAAACATAATAGCAGAGTCAGATCGCCCATTTAAATTTGTTCTGTGACTTGATTGTTCCTGTTAAGAGGAGGCCTATACACAGCCTAAAAGCAGAACAGGAAGGGGACAGGCCTCATTTATCCCAGGACAAACCAATAACACCAGTAAATAAAGATATGCTTCAAACTATGTTACAAGGCTATGATGGCATTAAGTACAAATTCTTAATTCACGGTTTTACAATTGGTTTTTAGGTTTTACAGGCAATCAAAAATTTAGGACATCAACAAATGTAAAATCTGCTCTTCAAAATCCAAAAGTGGTTTCTGAAAAACTAGGGTTAGAACTTAGACAAGGTAGGCTCGCAGGGCGGTTTCAAGACTTGCCACTAGATAATTTTTGCGTTAGCTCGATTGGTTTAGTTCCTAAAAGACAGCCTGGTTCATTTTGAATAATTCATCATTTGTCTCATCCTAAACATGGTTCCGTAAACGATGGAATACCAGATTGCAACACAACAGTCAAGTATGCGTCAACCGATGACGCAATACAAATTTTGAAGAAAGTGGGCCCAGGATGTGTGCCATCTAATCTTGATATAAAGTGTTAACCATTTATTCTGGAATAGTCCATATTCTGGATGATTTTCTAATCATTTCAACATCTCATCAACAGGGTGTGGAGCATGTGTTTTAGAAGGCTAGGAGTCAACTTCCATCGGATCCTCACTCACTAGTCGAATACCAAAGTGTCAGTGCCATCAGGATTCGAATTAAATGTGCAACTTGGAGAAAGAAATTCCATTTGTCCAAGGTGTTGAAGCTGTACCACTACTTGCAGTAGTACGACGCAGTAAAATGTCCCCTTTTAGTGTCACTAAACTTGAGTGCACGAAATCTGTGCGTCAGGTCCTTCTGCGTCTTGCATGTGCGGTTCCGGTTGGATGTGTCGTCGATGCGTCGTGTTACCAGGATCACAGCCACTTGAATTAGTACACAATTGTATTTGGGAGCTGACTGTTTGCGTTGCGTGCTGGGGGAAATCCCCGCCAGCAAAACGGCTGTTTCATGTATTCTTTTCTTAAAACATTTTACTCCTTGGCCTTTTTATATGTACGTCAAATAAATAAGAATTTAAACGCAAACTTAATAGACCCTCACAATTCTTTCCTAGCGTTAAGCAGTGATTTATTTCCCGGAATGTTGCCCATCTCAATTTGTGTTTAAATTTCCAAATGGTCATTCTTATAGAAGCATAAAACTTCTCAATTCTTCAGAATTTCGCGGCAAACTTACGTGACACATCGTTTTATAATGAAGTGGAGAACTTCGGAAACATTAATTTGCATTGAAATACGGCAATCTGGAAGTAAAATGCAGTGAAATACTTTGTTAGAATGACACCAAAAAACGCTGTTATCCCGGCAGTTATCTTATCTGCAGTGAATATGTTCCATGTTCCATGTACCATCGGCTTTTGTTACGATCTTCGTAAGAAAACTCGGTTTAAAGCCTAAAGGTTTCGGTGAAATTAATGTTCATATACCGACAGTTCAAATTCTCGCCATGAAATAAATTATTATATTAATTACAGAAACCTTTCTGGAAATGATTGCAGATGACAAATTCGCTTCGATGTTCGCTTCGCTATTATATTCACTTGTATTTAAAAGGCCGGTTCCTGCTCACACAATCATAATGAACAATTTTGTTTGATAACAAAACGGATCGTCTATCTGCATTCCGGCCGTGTGTATTCATGAGGTCTACGGTGACTCGTGTTTATTCATTGCATCATTGTTGAGATAACAAAAGCGCACGGCTGGTCCTGCTCATTAAAGTCGCCGTGCTTGAGTGAACACACCCGTCCAGTCTGCAGATTCCCGCCCTCCTTGACAACTGCAGACTGATCGTCCGGAACGCAGATAGAACGGGAAATAACGGGCATTCATTATCGAGATGGGGCCTTAGGTACATGTAACTAAAAACTAACCTCAAGAATCAGTAATGGGTAGCCCAGCAAGCAGGTCATCCGCTCATCTGTTGGTCCTCCTCCCTGCTTCCGGTTCCTCGGGTTTCTGTTTGATGAGGCTGTCGGAGCCCTGATGATGTCTTGAGGCAGGCTCAACCTCATCTCAGTAGAGCAATTCCCTCATCAGTCAGTGGTCCTCACTTTGCTGAAAGGATTCAAATAACGAAAGGAAACGTTTGAATTATTGAGCTGTATTCGTGCCAGGGCTTGAAAGGGGAAAGAAAGCTTTGAATTAACTCCACAAAGCAAAGCCCTGCTACCAGAACTCAATTGTGGACGAACATAATAACAGAGTCAGATCGCCCATTTAAATTTTTGTTCTGTGACTTGATTGTTCCTGTTAAGAGGAGGCCTATACACAGCCTAAAAGCAGAACAGGAAGGGGACAGACCTCATTTATCCCAGGACAAACCAATAACACCAGTAAATAAAGATGTGCTTCAAACCATGTTACAAGGCTATGATGGCATTAAGTACAAATTCTTAATTCATGGTTTTACAATTGGTTTTTAGGTTTTACAGGCAATCAAAAATTTAGGACATCAACAAATTTAAAATCTGCTCTTCAAAATCCAAAAGTGGTTTCTGAAAAACTAGGGTTAGAACTTAGACAAGGTAGGCTCGCAGGGCCGTTCCAAGACTTGCCACTCGATAATTTTTGCGTTAGCTCGATTGACTTAGTTCCTAAAAGACAGCCTGGTTTATTTTGAATAATTCATCATTTGTCTCATCTTAAACATGGTTCCGTAAACGATGGAATACCAGATTGCAACACAACAGTCAAGTATGCGTCAACGGAGGACGCAATAAAAATGTTGAAGAAAGTGGGCCCAGGATGTGTGCCATCTAAACTAGATATAAAGTGTTAACCATTTATTCTGGAATAGTCCATATTCTGGATGATTTTCTAATCATTTCAACATCTCATCAACAGGGTGTGCAGGATTTGGTCGGATTTCAAACACTGAGTAATAAGTTGGGTATTCCCCTTGCACCAGAGAAAACTGAAGGGCCTACAACCTGGCTAACATTTGCCAGGATCGAACTAGATACAATACGGTAGCAATGGCCGCGCGGTTACCGCCGGACAAATTACAAAAAGCCATCGTTAAAATTATCAAAATCTATTATGTACACCATTTCATACTGACATTTCAAAGACATACACAATCAGTTTTTACTGAAATTTTTGAAATGAAAAGTATAGCATTTGAGAACGGGTTTAATGCAAACTTTGATAAAGCACTGTATATTTTGCAAGGGGGGGGGGTGTTAAAATACCAACCGAGGAATCATATTTCTTCATATACAGGTCTCTTTTTGTTTCTAAAATAAAACTCACCACAAGAATTCCAAAGAGCATTCACGGTAGTGGTCACAAGGCCGCGGGTCGACGGCTCTGGTCAAGTCCGTAGCTCGGCACCTCGGGTCAAGGCATGGTCGATGACTCGGGCCAGTCCGTAGGACGACACCCCGGCGCAAGGCCATGGGCCGACGACTCAAGCAAGTCCGTGGGACGACACCCCGGCGAAAGGCCGTGAGCCGATGGACGACTCGGGCCCGTTCCGAGGGCCGGCACCTCGGGGGTTTGCCGTGGGCCGCCGACTCTGGCCAATTCCGTGGGCCGCCACTTACTCGGAGCATGGCCGTTGGCTAAAGACTCAGGCCAATTCCGTCGGTCCGCACCATTGGGTCAAGGCCTTTGGGTCATCAACTCGGGTCAAGTGTTCAAGTTGCACAAGGCCGCGGGTTGACGGCTCTGGTCAAGTCCGTAGCTTGGCACCTCGGGTCAAGGCATGGTCGATGACTCGGGCCAGTCCATAGGACGACACCCCGGCGCAAGGCCGTGGGCCGCCACCTCCACGGAGCATGGCCGTTGGCTAAAGACTCAGGCCAATTCCGTCGGTCCGCACCATTGGGTCAAGGCCTTGGGGACATCAACTCGGGTCAAGTGTTCAAGTGTTCAAGTTGCACAAGGCCGCGGGTCGACGGCTCTGGTCAAGTCCGTAGCTTGGCACCTCGGGTCAAGGCATGGTCGATGACTCGGGCCAGTCCGTGTGACGACAACCGTCCACCGCCACTTACTCGGAGCATGGCCGTGGGCCAAAGACTCAGGCCAATTCCGTGGGTCCGCACCATTGGGTCAAGGCCTTGGGGTCGTCAACTCGGGTCAAGTGTTCAAGTGTTCAAGCGCTCAATCCAATCGAGATCCAGGCCTTGGAGTCTGCTGAAAACACTGCTAATATCAACCTCTCAAGAAGCGTAGTCACGGTGGAGTCCATTCATGAGGTGGGATGACGTTCCACACGGTAAATAAAGTTGTTCACTGTTGAAGAGTGAGAAAAAGATCCATTAATAGGGGGCGGTGTGGATTCAGAATATGTTTGAGTTAAAAGAAGAACGGAACGAACAAAATTCATCTGGAACACAATTTAAGTCAGTTAACGGTTGCAATGCATATGAACAGGATGCATCAAGAACACGGCAGTTTCACGCATAAAAAAGTACGCCCTCTGTTGGCGAGATGGAGTTAGTGGTAATACCACGTGACAATCTAGCACGATGTAAATAAACATTACGCGCAGCGATCCCTTTGTTTCGTTGGTGGATTTAAATACCCCGCGAAAGATATAAAGATTGATTGGTTTATTAAAATGAATATGCAACAGATTACCAAATAAGGCTCTACAAACCATCAATGAAGCTATGTACGGTCGACAGTTGCCATCTAGCGTGCACAAATTCTGATAATGTGTGTTTTTTATGCAGCGTGTGACTTGTGACCTGGTACGATTAAGCGTTTTCGTGCCGTCACTTCCACTTCGAGAAAACATCATTTGTTAAGTAAAATGCAGTTTTGTGACGCATACTTGGTCAATCTATCAATAAATAGGTTATCTAGGTTCACATTGATATGGAAGAAAGGTTTGGGTCGACATGCTTTCGTGAAATTTTAGCCAATACTGAGGGTGAATAAAACAGGAGTTCGTCAAGTTGCGACGTACGAAGTGTACATGCAGTGTCATGGCGTGACGAGTGGGGACCTTCGTGGCCATGTTTTGGAATGATTTCGGAGATTCAGATGGAAATCTCAAAGGTAAGCCTACAGATTATGTATTTACTCTGCTCAGAAGATGTAGTTTTTGTAGTTTCTGCTTGTTTTTAGCCTGCGACACAAGGATTTTGTGTACGTACACCGCGCCATGACAGGAAGTCATTACAGTAATGTCGTACATGAAACAGTCGTAGCGTAGGCGCCTTGAGCTATCCCACAGCACGCACTTTTGGACGACGCAACGACTCGTGTATGTACAAGACTTTCATCTAAGAAATATTTCTGCCCAGTGTGCCTTGCTAGTTGCAATTACCCAGAAAATCGTATTCGTAATAAATAATCACAATGCATTCCTTAATCCTAACAGTCCTGAATCCTCCAATTTCAATATGATTTTTACATTTCATGTATAGTCAGTGTGGTCAGGATTTGCTGGCATGCATCATGCAGGAACATGAGGATGGAGGAATGGAGGTCATTCTTTGCAGGCAGGAGCCTGACATTGCTCATTTAATTAATGTTCTTGAAAACTTCTCAAGGAAACTGTGTACTGTATGTTCTAAATGCGTAAACAAAGGATTTGACATGTAGGCCCTACATGTAGGTTACATTGCCAGGGCCGTCATTAGGCTTTTCTTTTTCGCCCTCAGTCATATAATTGTAGAGTATTTTTTCCATTAATTTTAAATTTGACCTGGGACTAAAATGACTTGAGACTTAGTTGACATTGGACCGACTTTATACATTTGTACCTGGGACCAAGTTGACCTGGAACTGAGTTGGCCATGCTGTCTCAGACGGTCAGACCCCGTCAGTTAGGGACCAAGTCGTTAACAGTCTTGTGGTTGTTGGGTACGGAGTTTAGTCGAAACCCATGTAATGCATGCTCTTGTTCTTGTTGTGTACAAACACAAAAGTCAGGTAACTGTACAAGAACTTGAATGTGTACTTTAATTTGCCATCTAGACCTATTGGTTGTCTCTCGGACGCTGTGGAGGAGGTTGGCCTACATTTCTTCTTATGCGGAGTGTACGGCATTCCACCATGACACGCAGATGACGTACCCTGCCCTGACGAAGGATACCTTCAGAAAATTTGACAACTTTCATCGGTGAGCATCTTGATATTATTTTACTTAGAAATTGATCATGGCATGTATGTACATGCATGTACATACATCATGTACATGTACAAGTACATGTTTACATGTATGTCTGTGCCTATAGAAAAAGATAAAATATGAAACTTTCTTATCTTCTATAGTTTTTAACACTCATAATTCAATGCAAGAAAAATCCCAGGAAAGTTGTTTAACATAAGGCACAGACAAAAATCTTGAAAATAACCTGGCAATAATTTTCAACAGAGACTTTTAAGACGCTTCCTTTTACCTGTCCTTTTCATTTGTTTTATGTCACATTTAACCTAATGTGCACATGTTCAAATTGACGTCAACACCAGAAAAGGACTGGTGTATTTGCTGCCACCATGCATCTCAAAGTATCCCATTAACTTTGTTCCATTTGTTATATTCTTGTTGTGATTTCAGGTTTTGAAGAGTTTCTTCCTATTTCTGGATTGAAGATGGCAACGACATGCATGGCCGCGTATAATGGACGAGCTTTGGATTCCTCCGCATCTGATCTGTACTACCCACCCATTGCAATTGAACTCCGTATCAGTTCCTGACCATGCCATGACATGGCCATGTTCATTCAAACAGCCCAACCCCCACTCTGAACCTTTCTAAATAGTCCATGGTGTGGAGTACATGTACATGTATTTTTAGTGTGATCTGAATTGGGAGTGGTAGGTGTAGTCTGTTCGCTGCCTCCCTGTCCCAGATGCTTGAATAACATAGTTGACGTAAACATTTCATATATAAATGAATATCTTACTGCCGGGGGGGGGGGGGGGGGGGGGGGGGTGAGAGAATTGAGATAGTTT